CCTCTTTCTGTTGTTCACTTCTGCTCTATCTTCTGGAACTCAGGACAATGGCCTTTATGACCCCCTATGCCTCTGTAGTGTGGAACCAGGTAGCAGCACAGCCAGGCGCTGCAGGCACGGGAAGAGGGGGGAATGCTCCACGCTGCCGAGGACCTCACCTTCCACTGGCTCCAGTTTTCATTTTCATTAGTGGGAAAAAGAATTCACTTGTATTTAACCCTCAAAAAATATTGTATTCCCAATGACAGACACACTTATGGGCCATTTGATTTCCCTTCAGAAAATGATACATCTTTGTGCCTTATATGCTGCTCTTTGATCGACTGATTGTGGTGCTGGAGATAAGACCCAGGGCCTTGCACATGCTAGGCAAGCACCCTACCACTGAGCTATATCCTCATCTTTGACTGTTATTTAAACCAAAAATTCCTCACTCCTTTGTTTTTCGGAAAAGGGTTCTCTATTGAAAAGGAAAAGTTGAAACTATTCCAGCAACCAGGAATTCTTATGTGATTTGTTGTGAAGGGTGACTGAGTACCTCAGGTAGATGTGGAGGTTAATATGCCTGTTTTAAATCCTCTCCTTTTATCATTTGCCATCCTTCATTGTCATGAGCCAGAGACACATGAGGATATAGTTAGTTCCTTGTTCCCTCTTTCATGTTGGTCAGTCAGTAAGGCAGATAGTTGAGTATGGATATAAACTTGATCCTTGAACAACACAGATTTGGACTACGAGGATCCATTTATAGACAGAATTTTTTTTTGGAGATTTGTAATAGTTTGAGAAACTTATAACCTAGAAACATTGGAAAAATTAAGGAAAATAAGACATATCATGAGTGCATAAAATATATAAAAATAATAGTCTATTTTATCATTTCCTACCATAAAATATATACAGATCTTTTGTAAAATTAATATTTGTCCAGAGTTATGTACACAAACACAATGTGCATGACACAATATACAGTTGAGATAGTTATGAACAAATATAAAGACGCAATTTTAAATTGTAACTGCATAAGATTAACTGTAGAACATATCATACTACATAATAATTTCATAAGTCACCATTGCTATTGCAGTGAACTTGGATGTTGCAAATATGTGAGTAAATTGCCATGTGAGAGAGTCATCTCCACATGAGCAGTTTATCTTTCCAGTAAATTGCTTGTCACCATAGAAAGTGTTCTCAGACAGGTGTGGTTGGCACATACTTGTAATCCCACCTGTCCTGGAGGCTGGGGCAGGAAGATCAGAAGTTTAATGCCATCCTGAGCAACTTAGCATGACCTTGTCTCAAAATAAATTTTTTAAAAGGGCTGAAGATACTGCTCAGTGGTTGGAGTTGTTATGATGTTTGAGTCCCTGGATTTAATCCCCAGTACCTACCCCCATGATCTCTTGTGTTTCTGTAGTATTTTTCACCATGTATAATACATATAACAAATAAAATATTTGTTAATTGACTATCATTGATAAGGCTTGTTAGTCAGTAGCAGGCTATTATTAGTTAAGTTTTAGGGGAGTCAAAAGTTATACTTGGATTTCTGACTATGCAGGGGGACAAGTCCCATAGCCCTTGTGTTGTTTAGGGGTCAACTGTATGATCTTTGACCTCTCTGAGCTTCAGAGCTTCACCATCTCACTACAAATGCAGGGGTTTGGTCAGACACTGCCTGAATACCCTCTTGGTCCTGAATTTTTGTGCTTTCACTGGTCTGCTTGGGGCTTGGTGCATTTGGTTTTTGTCATGGACTTTGCTTCCTTCTCCAGGTCTCTTGCTTGCCAGAGGATGGGGATAGTCAGGTTGTGGCTTTTATGCAACTTTCAAAATACTATTGTACTTTTTTTCCCCCATTGTAGTCATTTGTGCAGTAACTTTTTCAAGTAAGAAATAAAAGTAAATTTTATTAAAAGGTAATATTGAATGGAGAAGAAGCTAGTGATAGTGGCCAAAAAAATCTTTTCTAGGATAATTGTTTTCAGTCAGCTTTTGGAAGTCACCATAAAACTCTCCCACCATTCTCCTTCTCTCAGAATTATAGAATAATATGTTTGCAATGGAAAGGTAATATCATTAAGACTTTGCCATCATTATTTTTGCAAAGGATTCTTGGTGACCTGAAGCTGGGAAAGGAAGGCACAAGGTTCAGTATGATGGGACTGTCCTCTTCAAATCTTAGTGTTTCTCAGGCCAGTGTCGCCTACTGCCACTCACCTTCTTAGAATTCCAGGCTTTAGCTTACTGACACATGTCTGTATGATCCAAATCAGTTCATTCATTTCCTCAGAGAGACTAATAGTTCACCCAGTGGGAATCTTATCTGAAAAGCTTCTGATGTGACTTACATTAAAAGTGTTCTAGAATCCACCATTCCAGGCCCAGATTTTCCTGCATTCTCCTTGAGCTTTACCATGTTGTTCTTAGACCTTTTGTGTTGATATTTAGTCAGTTTTCCCCAAGAGACAGTTGATGTAGTTTGTTTTAGGTCCAGGGGTATGTGAATCACCTCCCAGGCAAAGCATGAGTCTGGAGTTTCTCAGTGTGCCACACGTAACCACATCCCTCCACCTACTACCTACTCAGGGCATTGCTCCAACGAGAACCTACTTCAGGGCAGCAAGACATGACTTAGCATGGATGCACCATGCATGACAGGACCAGCAGCAGCAGCTGCAAGAGGGCAGATCTTGCCAGCAAGCTCAGCTTTTCTCTCAAAGAAAAGTAGATGGTTTGTTGCCTCGACTTTAAGTGGTTCCTTTAAAATGTATGTGTACTGACACTGAAATTGCTCTGGAATAATTTGTGTGAGCATCTAAGAAAGGAGAAGAGCCTGTTGAAGACAGGTTATGACTTTTCCCTATATTCAGTGTCTCAGTGCTTTTATCATTTTTATCTTTAGATCATCTCATGATTGAGATTTCATGAGCAGCCAGTTTGATTACATTTTAATAGTCACTTTATATAGTGAGAGCCTAAGAGTATCCCATTCCTCTTAGAAAAAGGAGCTAATTACATGTATTAAAAATATGTTTATTTTGAGTCCAGCACAAGTAGTCATTGTTCCCAAACAATCAAACTCAAACTGTTCCACTTGGATTCTCGAGGAAGTGAGCATAAGTCCCTGTTAGGCTAGAAATGCCGTATCTGTCTCTTACTTGATCCTCTCACCTGCCTCTCAAATGTGCTGCCCTGGCTCTAAAAAGGCTGCTTCGCTAAGTGTGTCATGGTCAGTTACTGGCTGTCTTGACCACCTTCTACCCTATCTGCCTTGTACTCGTGAGACCTGCCTCACGGAAGGAAAGCTCCGTAACTATAGGGGCAAACTTTCTGCTGTAGGCCTGTGCTCTATTTTTGTCATACTATTTTTAGTTCTAGCCTTATAGGGTATTTATGGCCAAATTTTAGCAATCTTTGTTTCCATGTATGTCTTTCACATATTTTCTAGCTCAGTCATAGCCGAACCCTGCATGTGAAGCAAAATTCTTTAATTGCTAAAAGAACAGTATGAGGCAAGGCTGCCTTTCTGTTGTGTGAACAATGCCAAGATACTCAACTGTAAACAGATATCTCTGTATTCCACAAGGCACTGACTGCATCTTTGGGCTGAAAATGAAAATCAGGAGAGAAGAGACCAGTGTTTGTATTTTCTTAGAAACTCCTGTTGGGTTTAATCAAGGGTTTTACATACTGTTTGAAGGATACAAGTGTTCACAGTAAAGGAACTCTTGCTACAGTTGCTCTTTAGAGCAGATTAAAACTTTGTTCATGTTTTAATGTATGAAGAGTCTACCAGCGAAATGGGTTTGAGGTGATCTGAGCCTGCTGCAGTCATCCCAAATTGGATTTATCAGTCCTTGGGTATCAATTTTGTATATAGTTCCCCCTATTTCCTACTGTAGATTGCATTTTCCTGGTAGTGCAGAAAACACTACACAGTGTATCTTTCCAATGTATGGTGGGGCTTCTGAATTTTTTATCTTTTTTAAATATCACAAATACATGAGCCAATTGACATGTCTAATTAGTGAGACAGTATGCTGAAATTGAATTAAAAGCAGTGTTTCTCTTACCTCATAAATATTAAGCCACTTTAGAGTAATGAGAGAAGTTGAATTATTTTCATCATTAACAGATGTATGTAGTACAGATTTAACAAAAGCAAATGGGCATATACAGTGTCATCAGCAAGAGTGTGGGAAGAAATCAGATTACTCATTTCCAGTTTTCTGTTTCACCCATTGCTCAATGTTCTTCCTTCAGTAGATTTGTAAACCTGAGTCCAGAAACTAATGAATGATGGTGTTAACATTCAAAAATTTTAAAACCTAATTTGAAAATGGAAATTTTTGTATAAAAATCACTGTTGCTGGCTCCTCTTGAACAGATTAGATCTGGCTACACCAGGCCTATAAACAGAACAGGGGTTCAGTGAAACCCTGGGGATTGTCCCTGTGGTCTGGGTGTGGTCTTCGTCCCTGTGCCATCTGCACCCACAGGACATGAACTTGTTCTTACTCTTGGCTCCTTCCCTCTACAGTTCCCTGTCTGGCCACCATGGGTGTTTCCCCAGGTTCCTTGCTACCAGCTAGCATTGGCTCCATTTGACTTTCTCTTCTATTCACAATGTAACTACTATTCAATATTTATAGGAAAATATGCTTTACCTCACTGATTTTATCACCATGTCATCATGAGTTTTATAGTGAATTAAGTTTTCCTGTCTTACTCTTGCCATTGTGAAACTGAGGCAGAAAGAAATGAAATTAATTTCTCAGATCATACAGTGAACCAAAATCATGGTTTTGAACAAACCACGGTAGCATATTTAAAACTGCAGTGTTTTCCACAAACATATATAACATTCCTTTCAACATTCATAATTAAATGAAAAGCAAACAAAATGTCTAGCATTGACTTTTTAATGTGTGACTGTTAACTGTTTTGCATTGCATTAAATTAGAAAGTTATATCCAATTTTTTATTTACTTTAGGAAGTCTGTTTGCTGTTAAAGGAAACCATTTATTCAAGAGTTAAGGAGTACTTGGAAGTCCGTAAACAGCACAAGCCATCAAATACAGAATTCACAAGATCCACTCCCTTGTCCTTAAAAGGTAGGCCAAAGCACTTTGATTTTGGACAAAGAAAATAGGATTTTTGCTTTATGGGCATGGCAGTTATATCTGATTCTGTCATGTTAATACAGGGATACATTTGAAAAGTATGTTGTAATGAGGATACTTTGTTTGGGTAAAGAAAATTAACCAAAATGCCCTAAAGGACTTTTAATGGTAGGCAAAATATATAAAAATAGCAAATAAAACATTCCTAAGGAAACTGTAAATTTTTTTAAGGGTTTTTTTTTTTTTGACAGTCTTATAAATGGGTTTGCTTTAATATTGACTCAAGTTGACTTAGGGTTTTATACTTTTATAAAAATATTTTCAAATATGCCAACCTATTTCAAAGGTTCTCAAATGGGCAGTTTTATCCCCAGGGGACATTTGGTAATGTCTACAGACAGTTTTGGTTGTCATAACTGGCAAGAGGTAGGGTGCTAAGTGGCATGTAGTGGGAAGGGGTCAGGGATGACACAATGCATCTGTAGCCTTCCACCCCCAAACAAATTATCAGCCCCAAAACATGAAGGGTACCAAGGTTAAGATATCTGTTCTGTTTCCTAATAACACAATGGCATGGTAATATCTTTGAGTTTTGAGTGAAGAAGGTGAGAATCTGCAAGATTAAGTGGCCCACCAAGTAAAAGATCATCTTCTTGAAGACAAAGACTGTCATTTATTTGGGATCATCTTCTCTCATTCTCTCTCCCATGCCCCACTACTTAACCTTAACCATGTTACATCAGAAGAGTGCTTGAGTGATGACAGAACCTGAACCTAGACCACAGTTCCAACTTCAGCTTCAGTGTTCTTTCTACTCAGTATTATATTTTTAATATTTTCTAAGTCAGCATTTCATAGCACTCCTTAAAATGCGGAGACTAGACTGCTTTGAAATACAGTCAACCACATTGATTCTCAGAGGACAGTGACTGGACTGCTCTGAGCCCTCATTTTGTTAATGTAACTCCTCTTGGAAAAATACTGTGCTAAGTACACTCTGAAGGCTTCCTTCATTCAAAGTATTCACCGTGGTATAGATGGTAAAAGTGAGCAGATTAATGTTAACCAAACCAAATGGAATATTCAGTCCAGACAGCACTATATTAGATGCTGCTTTCTGGTATGTCACTCAGTAGTACTATAAATCTTCAGAAAAGTCAGGAGAGTTTGCATCCTGTGTACCCCACTAGACCTGGCTGGCCTCGCTTTCTGACTGGTACAAAAGCAAGGGAATAGAGCAAGTTCCCAAGGCTTCTATCTCTGGTGTGGTCAGTTCTGTTGTCGGCGTGGTCAGTACTGATTCTCAGCCAGCCCATCTTAGCCTTTCTTGACTGCCCAGTGAAGGAAGCTACATGCTTGAACTTCTCAGCCTGCCTCCCAGGTGGGGAATCACAGTTCTGGCCAAAGTGAAAATCAAAGCCTTTATTGAACTTATTATATCTGGGAATATATATGTTTTTAAATAAAAAAGTGTCTGCCTATACAATTTTGTAACCTATTTTTCCCACCTAATATATAATAAAAGTTTTTTTCACATACATCATCATTTTAAAAACATTTTTTGTTGTGGTAAAATATATATAACATACAATTTACCATTTTAACCATTCTCAGTTGTACATTTTAGTAGCATGAAATACACTTACATTATTTTGCAGTCACACTGTTAACTGTCTCTAAAACTTTTTAGTTATCCTAGGCTGAATCTTTGTACCCATTAAATAGTCATTCCCCATTTTGCCCTTTTTCAGCCTCTAATAGCAACCATTCTACTTTATATGGCTCTATGAGTTTGAATTTTGAATTTTCTAGGTACCTCACGTAAGTATAATTATACAATATTTGTCCTTTTCTTGTCTGGCTTATTTCATATACCATAATGTTTTCAAAATTCCTATTGTAGCATTTACCAGAATTTCATTTCTTTTAAGGCTGAATGGTATTCCATTGTAATATTCCAGTGAATACTGTACCCTATTTTATTTATTCAGTCATCTATCAGTGGACATTTGGGTTTCCACGTTTTGGCCATTGTGAATAAAAGTGCTATAAACATTGGAGTACAAATGATCTGTTCAAGTCCCTGCTTTCAGTTCTTTGGGATATATATAGCTACAAGTGGAAATTCTGAATTATATGGTAATTCTGTTCAAGATTTTTGAGATACTGCATATCATTTTCCATAATGACTACATCATTTTACATACCTACCAGCAATTCATGAAGGTGATGCCTTCTGCATAACCATGCCAACAACTCATTTTTCTGTTACTTTGGTAGTACCCCATTCTTATATGTGAAACAATATCTCATTGTGATTTTGATTGGCATTTCCCTAATGAGTAGTGATGTTGACCATCTTGTCCTGAGTTTATCATCATTAGCATATCCTCCTTAGAAAAATATCGCTTTATGTTCTTTGCTCATTTTTAACTGGATTGTTTTGAGATACAGAAGCTCTTTATATATCCTGAATATTCCTTACTGAATTTGATTGGCAGATATTTTCTCCCATTCTGTGGTTTTCATTTTCATTCTCTTACAGTATCCTGACTCAAAAAGTCATTAACTTTAATACCATAGCCAATTTGTCTATTTCTTCTGTTGCCTCACTCATGATGTCATGTCTAAGAAATCATTGATGAATCCAATGTCGTCAAGTTTTCCTTTATTTTTCTTCCAAAAAATAGAAGAAATTCTACAGAATCAACCTTTATAGTCAGGTATTTAGTCTATTTTGAGTTAATTTTGGTATGTGATTAAAGGTAAGAGCCCAGCTTTATTCTTTTGCATGTGGTTACTCATGTGTTGCCATAGAAGAGTCTTGGAATTCTTGCTGAAGATCATTTGACCACATAAACGTTGGTTTATTTTTTGGCTTTCTATTCTTTTTCACTGGTCTATATGTCTGTCCATATCCACGTGAAACTGTGGCTTTTTAATAAGTTTTGAACCCAGAAAGTGTGAATCTCCTAATTTTGTTATTCTTTTTCAATACTGTTTTGACTATTCCAGGTGTGCAAAACCATTTTAAAAACTGCATAGTATTCTGTTATGTGCCTATACTCTTAATTTATTGGTGGGATTTATTTAGATTGTATCTGATGCTTTCATTGTATTAAAGAATAGTGCAATGAACATCCTAATAGTATACATATTCATACATTTCATTTTTTAATATTTCTAGCTGAATATTCATATTTTTATTGGTTTGTGAGAGCTCTTTAATGATATTATTACTTTTATGCCGTGTAAGTTGCCAGTGATTTTTTCACTGTCATTTGCCTCTGACTTGGTTTATTTAACTGGACAACTACAAATAAGGAGAATCTCTGTTTGCCTCATGCGGCCTCCAGGGACCTCTAGTGGGATGAATGCTGGGTTTCCTTGTAGTGAGACAGAAGCGTGGTTTATTGCCAAAAAGGCAGATGATGATAAAGTCACCTGTGTTGTTGGCTCTTTAGAGAAAAGGCTGGACTCTGTATATGCCTCTTTTAAAGTAAAATTCATGTGAAGCACCATCTTCCCTCTCCTTCCTACTCTAACAACAGTTAACTTTTAGCTGGGCAAGTCTTTGAGGTTCAAATCTTGATCTTTCCCCTCCTCTGTAGCCACCAGCCAGCCCCTCTCCTACCTCTCTTGGACAACTGTAGCAGGTACCTGGCTGGCTCCTTTCTGTGCAGTGTTTAGGGCACTGTTTCCTATGCACACTTCAGTTAGGTGATCCCTTAAAATGACAGGTGAGTCCTGTGCACATCCCCATAAAGCCCTTCAGGATCTCCCCGAGGCTTTTGGGATGAAGACTAGCACCCCTGGGGAGCTGCCTCTCCAACCATGTCTTGTACCACTTTTTCTGTCTCTTTTGCTCTAGCCACATCTCACTTAATTCCTTTCTTCCAAAGCTCTGTTCCTTTGCTCCTCCCACGACTCTTGCCCATATTGGAGCCTAGACTTCCCCTGCGCCATCTCCCACTGTCTGGTCAAAGTCCGTTCCTCAGGGAAGTAAATCCTCCCCACAGATCACCAGCACCCTGGACTTTCCTTCACACCATTGGATTAACATCTCCCTCTCCAAAGATGTGTAAGCCTCTCAAGGACAGGTTCTGCTCCTTTTATTACTCTGTTGTCCCCTTACCGTAGCACAGTGTTTCTGGCTTGCAGTAGGCACTTAACGGTTATCCCTTTCCTTCTCCTAGTAGAGTTGAGAATTGCTGTAACTTATTTATCCTGCCATATTTCCTGCAAATCTATATTCCTATTACCTCTGTGCCTTTACTTTTCCAAATTTCTTCTTTACCAAACTCCTATCTAACTCTTAAGACTCAACACAAAAATATTACTTCCCCACAGTCTTTCTCAACTTCCCATCTCCTCTGCTCCTGAATCACTTGACACTTTACACTTTTATAACTATTGTCACATTGTGTTTTATAATTGTGTTATAGTCTGTTGACTTGCCTTTCTAGCTCCTTTGCAAAAAAGATTGAGTCTTTGTCACCTCTTAAACTCCTTATGATCAGATTACCTTACTCTTTAACTCTAGAGCATAGACAAGAGAGCTCTGCTTTTGGTTGTAAGTGTGGAACGCTCAGTTTCTGAAAATACAAGCATTGTTCATGCATCTCTACCACAAGATTCCATTTCACAGATGAATGAGGTTTGGCACATTCTAGGATGCACAGATCTCAACACCTATGGAGCCAAGGAGGGACCCACCCAGTGTTGTGCCGCCCTGCTGTATTGTTTGTGTAAACAGCATCCCTGTGGAAGCTGAATACATGCTTTACCTTAAACTCAGTACCAAGACATCTTTCTGGACATTGGTCTAACTGCCTGTTCTGATCTGCTCCCATATTCTTCCTTAAATGCCTTTTTCAAAAGCAATTTCAAAGCCGCTTAACCATAAGGCCGATGCTGTTTCCTCTTCCATATTCAGTTCCGTGGCTCATGAATACAGAGTTATTGTTACTGTAATTGTAGTTTGGTTGAAT